TGATTCTTACCGCACCCACCTCTTGCATCGATGTCGGAAAAAACAAGCATCTATTCCAATCAACGCAAAGCAACCAATATCCATGATTCTACAACAGAATGTAAATATTTTAGAAAAAATTCTATAGACGTATTTTACAACAGAATGAAAGGTGAATGAACAGGCCTTATGTCTTTAATTAAAAAAAATTTGCTGGATGTGATGTTCATCATATTTACAAGGAGGTTTTCTCTAAACGCTAAAGTTGGAATAATCACATTTTCGAACATATTTAAAACATTGTCAGATATTGGTCCAAGTGCTCTCTATACGAGAGTTATAGAAGATGAAAATACCTTCAAAGTGAAATAGCATATGTCTAATTTGCTCCAGCTGCTAACTAGAAAACTCGTAAAGAAAGACCGTAAACCTAAAAAAATACGTGGTAACAACATATTAATTTAGAAAAATTGCGTAGAATTTGGAATGAATCCAATCTGCACCAATAATTTGTCATATCTATTATTTTAATTTTCTATTGTATATTTTTTGATTAAAAAAATTGTGAACATGCGATTTTTTTAACAAAAGATTAACATCTAGAGCAAGCTAAACGGATAGTCTCATTTTGAAGCTATTTTCATGCTCTACATGCAGCTTTATCGATCCTTCATAGGGTTCTGGTGTCTTGAATATACAACGTGTCCTAAAAGTTGGGACTTTTCAGAGTCAACTACGTTTGCAATACCAAGGCTAATTTGCAGCAAAACAACACAAAAAACGTTCATTTGGTAAAGAATTTCAAGTACTGTAGATGTTTTGTTTGTAAACACTGCTTGAAACTGTCAATATTCTATTCAAAAACAAGAGTTTGCTTACTTCTTCCTCAATTCATAACATTTGGGGCAGGCTAGGTCTTCAAGTGTGTTCAACCAGATGGCTTTTCACGATATAAACAAACATACGTAGCTCTGATGGAAAGAAGGATTTCGGTTTTTCAAATGCGGTTTGTTTATAAACTAGGTCAACCTAGAGACCAATTGGATGCCTGGTTTTGATACTGACTCACATAGTCTCACGAAGTACACATTGTCAATTACCTTGAAGGATATATTTCTTTTTAAAATCTATCTAGACAATTTCTTTCTGAAATTCTAGACATTCTGGTCAACACACTTACAAATGAAAACACATTCATAAAATACAGTTGTCATGTCCCAGAAATAACTGTTACTTTCATTAATTCTGCCTACATACACAATTCAACGTTAACCTGGACCTTCCCAAAACACATTTTACTCTTCGTGAGAATCGGCAAAAGTAAAGAAAAATGGTACGTGCTTTCAATTTCTTCGTGTGGCTATCAGCTCTGCATTTTTATGACATGCAAATTTTTATACCGTTACACCAGTGTAACAGCATGTATAAAAGTTACGTCGAAACGTAATATCAGTGTACTGTAAAAAATTAAATTTTCATGAATCGCTGGGTCATCCAGATTAATTAGAAGAGCAATGTTTTTGTACACGTGAGCCTCACGTGATTAAGATGCCCAAAATACATTTCCTAGATCATATACATATTTAAACAGTTAAACGAAATATTCCCGACGATTAATAAATTAATGTGTTGAGATGTCCTAACAAAAACTTTGGACAATAACGAATCATACAGATCATTATTGCATACTTGGGAATTTATTAGAAAAAGCCAAACTCTACTCTACTACACTCTTTATAAGTACAGTTATCCTTCCGAGAAATTCAAATCTCTGTGGCCTTCAATCTAGACTCATCTCGTTATTGAGTGTGAACAGTTATTTGTCAGTTCAAATCTGCGCAACGAATCAAATCAATGCGGTCCGTTTAAATTTTCCGAAAACTAGATGCCTCTATTATAAATTCGTCTACCCCATATATTTCAATGAAATTTAAAACCCAAATTCGCCCAAGGTCAGGGAGATGTCCGAAAGGTAAATTAAATGTTGCCAAAAAGTATACGTAGGACGATTTTTCTGGAGGAGCTCGGACATCTGTTATAATTATGTATACATTACTGTATAGAACAGTCGGGTTTTTAAGAAGGCAAAGCGTCTAGACAGCTAACATTTGAAGGACGGAATGGCAATATCGGTAAAAATTCACCGCAATTCGTGAGTGGCTCGTCAGGATAGCAAAAGGACTCCCCGGTGATATTGATGTTTGTCCATGCTAAGGCAGCAACTTTTGCAAGTACACCACGCCACGGGTTCTGAATATTGCTGCAGCTGTGGCCGCAGAAGTAGATTCTTCGGTCTCCTGATCAGTCGCCGTGCGCTGTGCGGGTTCGATTCCCGTCCCAGGAGAAATTTTTCTCTTGGCTATGGATGTTGTGATTGTCCGTAGCTGGTAGACGGTCTACCACCCGGCGGATCTCGTACGCGGAGCCAGAATGTGTGCATGTTGCATGCACACGTGTTCCCTCGCCAGAGTCCGTGTAACGTTCTCCCTTTCCCATGTATCCCGCTATAGCCCCACGGTACCCAATGGGTGCTTAGGCCTTAGGTCTTCGTGGTAGTTGGAGTATAAAAAAAATTGCTGCTTTGGTAGTGGATCCGAGGAACTTATAGAGACAGATTGCGGACGGCGCGGTGATGCGCTATGCATTTACGACGTGGGCACCCTAGTATCATATAGATTATGCTTGTAGTGTTCTTTATTCAAACATTGTCGGCAATCAGTTTTATACCAGAACTTCAAAGAAATGAGAGTACTGTGCACAGACACGCTCATTGATGCAATCTAAAGATATTTCTTCCCTTAAAAAGCCCATGTAATGCGCTAATGTTTCTGACAAAATTCACGTCTTTTTGATAGTTTTTCACTAAATAGAAAAGTGAACTAGAATTTGTTTCCAAGGACTGGGAAATATAGAGACAATCTGCTGAACACTGTCTTTTTTAATAATCCAGTAAATTGTTCAGATATAGCTGGGCATTCAATCAAATAGTGCAACTTCAACTGGGAAAATGGTCCTTTTTGGTAAAGTAATAAACAGTTTTGAAAATTTTAAATTGTTTTACTTAGAAATACTAATTACATATTTCGCTTACCGCAAAATTGAAATAACATTGCAGATGATCAGCCACTAAGATCGCATGTGAACTAATATGTGCCTGCAGTTTATGGTAAATGCGGGTAACGTTGAGCTCCTTTAAGAGCTTATAAAAAACCATTTCACATGATCTAAAGCGTAATCATTTGACAGCTATTTTTACAAATGTTCACCCAGTTGTATAACGTATCTTCGTAACCAGTAAACCGAATTGAATTTTTTTAAGCTGGTGTTTCTACCTTCTTAAATACAAATTAGTACTTTCTAGGGCTTACAATGTTTTTCATTTTGCAAAGGCATTTAAATAATACTAGTTTGCCTGTAAAATGATCCATCTTTGGTGGAGCTAAAACTGATTTCGAATAAATGCAGCAATTGCATTTATTATTACTGTGGGCAGTATTCACCAAAATCGAACTAGGCATCCCAAATCTTTTATAGATGAAAACGCACCTTAATCCATATTTCATTGAGATGGTCAAGGTGTTTCCTAGTAATCAAATAGTCCTGCATGTTCTTAAAGAACTTGTAGTTGCGCTCTTCCGTAAGTCCGATGGGCAAAATGTAGAGGTAGTTCAAACTCAGAAACCTGCTCTAAGAATAGTTCAGTCTATAATGCGATAAACTTTGATTTTAGGAGACACTAGACAAAACCAATAACACTATATCGCTAGGTAATCATATACTCCTAGATTAGCTAACAGACTCCTGTAGATAAAAATATCTTGCGTAACACTGAATACGTTATATCTATTCTGGTCACATGGGCAAATTGTATTCAGGAGATTTTTTCTTTCCTTTTGTTTAAAGACCAATATGTGAATTAACCTTGAATAAGACTATGATCTGAATTACATCTGCTAAAAATAGACGTTGCTTGCAAAATCGGTAATGAATTCTTCACTGTTTGACTTATGGCATGTGTTCTTATTTCCCATGCCAATATGCAAGAACAGAACTATAACCATCGAAACTTGAAAACATTTCTTCTTTCACTAGTACTCTGAAAAGCCGTGATTGTGATTGTTCACCGCAGTGATTCCCTATTCAGAAGTAGCTTTACTTACCCTAGGCCGATGATAGTAAAAGTATACTACATATAGACCAGGTTTACTAATATTATATTATTATATACTAGGCATTGTAAAGCTCTGATGAAGATGTTAAATTCCTCGTTTATAGTAACCAAACAGTAAGAAAATGTTATTTCAATTACCGGCTATTAATAAACTGTCTGGCAAAACTTCAAGACCGCGTTGAGCCGAGATATTGAAAATTTCAAATGTCACTTTTGAGTTAAAATATAGTATTTTATGCATTATTTTCATCATCCCAAATTTGGACTTGCCATCTTGACATTGAAAATTAAGTGGGCAGAGGGGCGTTTTGTAAAGCTTTCTTCTTGTAATCATTCAAGTGATCACCTGCGAAATTTCTGCCGGGATACCATGTACCCTATTTAGCCGCATATTATTATCAATGTCAAATTATATTATGTATCTACGGCCGCTTAAAAACCAGTCGATCATGGTGATGGATACTGGTGTAGTTGACATTCAGTTTTGTAGACAAGGAAAACTTCCCAGCGGTAAAAGACAAAAAAGTTAACGAAGATATTGAAATCAGGGCAAGAGAGTTCCTAGAAATTCTTTTGAATAATTCAAAGAGGTCGACACTCTTGCTGAGGCCTGAAGAAAAAATATACAACCGTAAACTTAACCGAAATACTCTGATACACTGATTGTAAATTCTAGTAGGGGTCAAGATGCAGACGCTTTTAAATAGGACAGCATTTTAAAGTATATGCATAATGTAATCTAAATTGCTTAATATCTATTGTATATTGCCATTTTTTACTGATCTGACACGGATTAAGCAAGTAGACAAAGAATATTATTTCAGGCACTAGGCTTATGGTGGTAAATGAAGCCTAGGTAGCTCGGTGGATATAGCGTCAAGCTGGCAACCCGGGGATCGCGGGTTCGAATCTCTTCCTCGTTCTTTGTCATTGATGTTATGTTGTGTGTTGTCTAAGTCACGCACGTGGGTGCAATATTGACTATAGATATATCTAGTCCATGTATTTTTCTTATTATATCAGTTATCAGTAGAGAACTCGTGAAGTAGTGCAGTATTGTTACTACGGGAGCGGCAAAAATGATCAAAGATAGCCTAGTTTCCTGTGGCTATTACCTCAACCGACCTACTCTACTAGACCAATTCTGTATACGGTATAGGCCCAACGGCAAGCAGCCAAGATCTCAGGAGTTAGGCCCCTTTGGGCGTACTCTCCAGGGGTTACTCAAGGTTGATAGGACAGCTAGTGACGTGACATGTGTATATTTTGTGATGGAGGGACCGCACAGGGTAGGAGGGTGTGTGTGTGTGTGTCTTCAGCATTAGTTCCATTGCTCTAGTTCTACACGTAGCACCATGTGCTAAGACACACTGCATCCGACTTAAGTGAATATTTGTGGTTACCTGTCCATATTTGGTGATCCAAGCTACAGCACAGTAGATCAGCGTTAGCCTGATTATGTCTGCTTATATCCATATACCAACTTTTGGCTCCAAGCCCCACGTCTTGTGTATAGTTCTTCGGCATTGCTCATAGGATATTTACTCTTTGTTTAAACTTCTTCGTAGATGAAGATTCTAATTTAGATTCATGTTTAAAGTGACCCCAAGGTACATGACCTCAGATACGAAACGTAAGCTGAGGAGTTTTGTTGGACTAATGGCCGACAACTTTCTTTTCTCAATGTGAGCCAACTCTGCTTTATTGGCAGTGACATACGGATTAAATATGTTAACATTGCCTTATTTGTCGACAACATTCCGTATCTTTGACTACCATTGCCTACCAAACTGACAACGTTCTATCAACAACATCATAATACTTACAGGTGAAAAAAACTACCTTCATTATTCTTTTGCTGCTCTTGGAAAATAATGCAAGAAGTATCATGTCGTGAAATTGTCTGACACAATTATCTGATAAAACACTCTCACTTCCAAAAATAACACTAAAAATACGAATTTAATGAAAGAGCTGTCAAAAATTAACTTATCGCAAGTGCACTTGTAGTATGAACTTTCTTCTTGACTACAGACTGAGATTTTAGTGACAAACTAATCGCAGGCTTGCTTGCTCATTTACCGTTAAGCAGTACCGCGACCACGGCAACGTCTCCATAGGTTATTGTGTAGAGTCCTTCGCTATTAAGCCTGGTCAGTAGGCTATCAGCACAATATTCCAAAGATGTGGCAGAGGACTTCTATACCTACGCCAACAACCAAAATGGATTTCTTAATTCACAATGATTTCTCACTCCTCCCCTTTATTGCATGTCAGTCAGTATCAGTGGATTTGCTTGTGGGGTGTATGCATGCTTGAAGGTAAATGGAAGATAGTATTTCATTTTCAAAGGATTTTTGACGGTAGCAGTAAAGATGTCTCATTTTCAGAATAAAAAGCCACTGATTAATGCATCTTCTTTCTTCTAGGGGAGTATATTATTTTTTCTCATGGGAATTACCTATGATTCAATAAAAAGGACCCGTGGATGGTTATAAAATGTCCAAGAACGGAAAATCTGTCGATCAAACATTAGTTTAGTTTAGCTTTCCATTTTGCTGTTTGAATACAGACTTATCGCGTCTATGATGTTCCTGTTTATATCTTCCAAGTGTCTGTCCGTGGTCGTAAGTTTTTGACGAATACTTATGACTTCAGTTATAAATTCTCACTTTTCCCGCTACTACATTAGACACCGGAATAATTGCGTGTATCAGCTAGTAGGGGAGCTACCGAGAAAAAGCTGAGTTGTCTGTTTAGGTTTAGAGCAAAGAAACAATTGTTGCTGTCTAATTTAATCTTGCGTGTAATCCAGATAGAATTTGGCCCGGAATACTGTTCACATGCCTGGATTCTACCGATATGACTATGAACTTCTCCATGGTGTCATCTTGTTTTGGGACTGCAAGTCAAATCCGACAGACTTTTTCTTCTAATTCTGTATACCGTTCTTCTAGAAATCGCCAGTACGATATCGCTCCTTTATCCATATGGTTTCGAGAATGTGAAACAATATGCCAGAAAATACTATTCTAATTACCTTAAATGGTTTAAGAATCGGAGCAACAGTATCATTATTTTTGTAACAGATGCGTAAGTCATATCCCACAAAACTTCATAGTTTTCTTTAAGTTTTTTCAATTCTTCTCAAGACATCAAAACCAGAATATGATTTTGTTTTCTAAAAATATCATAAGTTATCACAAACTACGAAACTTCAAGACATAAGTTTTTGAACATTCTTTTACATTTGAAGCGTTCTATTTTTCACGGTTTGGTCGAAAGTGAACTTTTAAGTTACTTAGTGGTACTTATTTTTATTTCTTAAGGGTGCTCCAGCAGACATTTTTCACAATAATTTTATTATGCAGTCATCAATCTTTCCATTATTATGCAATATATACATACTAATATTATTAATGCAAAAGTGTGTACGTATGTTTCGTTTTTTGTTAACACTGCTGAATCGATAAAGCCTTAATGCGTTAAAATAAAAACTTAATAATTAACCTATGTCCTGAAATTTTTGGCACAAAATATTAATAGGATTTTTTTTTAATGAATTTAGATCAATTTCTCTCAGGTTTCTCTCAATAATTGTTCTTTATCTTGGGCTTCCCAGCCTCCATGATAAACCTTCCTGGACAGTAAAACTCAAAAATCCTTAATTGGTAGAACCTGGGAAAATTAAAATAAAGACCACAAAAATATATCACGTCATACAGCTACCAAATCTACCAAGTTATACTAAGTGACATATAAATCCGAACACCCAGTTTAAATGGTTTTATTTTAATAAAAGTTGGTGAATGTATTTATCTTACTGTAAATAACAAGTGACAAAAATTTTCAGCCTTATCAGTTGGACATTCCGGTTTTTATACTGCTTTTTTTTAATTCACTAACGCTCTAAAAATGAATATTTCAGCCGCAGTAAAGAATCAACGTTGGCGGATTTTGGTTCTTGACATCCTTTACGATCGGTTACGATGCCTAGAGTACGGAGACCTGTACGATTTCGTCAACTTTCTTTTCGGGCAATTGCAGTTAGAGTGCAAAGAAGTGTAGACACTGTGGTTAGGTGTTGTCAGGCATGGCTTCGAGAAGGCCGTACGCAAAGAGCAAGGGGCATTGGACGCCGCCGTAGAACAACAGACCGTGAAGATCGCCGCCTAAGATTATTGGCCTTAAGGGACCGTTTCTCCACTACCAGGTCCATTGCAAATGAATGGTTTGCAGAACACGGAAGACCTATTGGCATGCGAAGTGTTTACCCACGAATGAGAAGTTTTGGCTTGTTTTCATACCAGCCACACTGGGTCCTCCCTTTAACTCGAGAACACCAACGTAATCGCCTTGAGTGGTGCAGACAACGGTCACTCTGGGATCAGGAATGGAACAGTATTGTCTTTAGTGACGAGTCTCGATTTTGTTTAGGCATGCACGATGGTCGTGCCAGGGTTAGAAGGCGACGTGGTGAAAGGAGGAATCCACAGTTTTTTGTTGAAAGATATGTTCATCACACTGTTGGAGTTATGGTTTGGGGTGCTTTAGCTTATGGTTCCAGGTCACCTTTAATCTTCATCAGAGGTAACATGAACGCCCAGCGTTATATCCACGAAGTTCTAGAACCCCATCTTTTATCCTATCTTGAAACCCTGGCAGATCCAACTTTCCAACAAGATAATGCCCGACCACATGTTGCAAGAGTCACAATCGACTTCTTTCAACATAATGATGTCACATTGTTACCATGGCCACCAAGATCTCCCGACTTATCCCCAATTGGGCACGTGTGGGATATGATGGGTAGGAGATTGCTCAATTTGCAACGTCCTCCTCAGACTCTAGAAGCACTTCGAGAGGAGTTGGTGGTGGCCTGGAATGAGATGCCACAGGAGGACATTGACCACCTGATCAGAAGCATGCCTAGGCGCGTAGGAGAATGCGTAGCACATCAGGGTGCATCCACACATTATTAAAGGTCAAAGGGCTTTAAAGCAGTGCAATCATTTTGAAATTTATATCATTTACTTATTATGCTTCATTAAGTACTTATGCAAAATTTTATTAAAATAAAACCATTTAAACTGGGTGTTCGGATTTACATGTCACTTAGTATACATAAAAATATTGCTGGGTTCTATAAAAGGCATGTGCATCAAGTAATGACATTTATTTTGAACATTTTGTAGTTCTACAAAGCACGAAGCAACTTATTAAATAATATCACACAATTATAGTACGAGGATTTTTCATAAGACCAGAATGACTGTACTGTAAGGTCAGTGTTTCTGGTTCTATAATAACACTCTGCAAATGTTATACATTTCAATAAATATATACGTGTCACCGCTAAAACTTTTCTTTGTTTGAACAGTCTTCGGCAACTATCTTGTTGTGACATACTAAACATCAGTGATATTATGTATTTTTGCGACATAAATATCCTGTCTGTGTTTAGATCTTTCCCATATCATAATTTTATACGTTATATGGGAATGCGCTAAGCTGGAATGCATGTTGAGCAATCCACGTATGTGCAACATAGTCCTTAGCAGTAGTATAAGTTAGAATGCGCGATTTATTTGTTGGCAAACATGTTCAGCGTGTCCACTAAATGACAGCTTTTCATCAAAATATGTGCCAAACAATTTTGTAGTTGAGACCAACTTCAAGTCATTCAAGGGTATGAGGCCTTCGGGAATTTACCTCTGTAACTATCATCAGATTGGTTTGTAATTTATAAATATTCTGAAAAATTATTCACATGTAGCAGGAATAAAAGTGGCCATAAAGTAAAGCCTCCTATCTCTATATCACGTAATTCATACATAAAACCCACCTTCACTAACATGTTTCTAGCATCTATATAAGATATAGTCCATATTGCTGTAGCTCCTCGAATACCAACTGGTCTAGTCAAGATAATTTCACGATCTCAAATGGCTTTTGTGGTTGATACCCATACTGACAGACAGTAAGAATATTTTGTTTTGCAATAAATAACGATTATTGTGTATGCATAATTTTGACTTGCCAGGCCTACTGGCAAGAAATTATTAAGCCGAGAAGTTTTAAAAACGGGATATTATCATTTTTGGATGTTATATGACATTTACATCAAGAAAAACTATATCACTAATTTCCGCGGATATGTATATCAGTCTGACCGCTAAACCTTGGACCGCCTATAGCTTGGAAAGTGCTGCTTCGATTTCGATCAAATTTTCAGACAAGGTTACTCCTATGCCAAGGACAAAAAGACTGTAGTTTTTGGAAATATATCCAGTGTTGGCGGACCAAGGGGCAAAAACACGAAAAGGTTCCTCATCATTTACGGAAAGAAATTTTGTAAGAGTTGGAAATCGTTTAGAATGCAATAATTAATCAGAATTGTACTAGTGTAACAGGCCGCGTAATTTCTATTCAGTTTAACCGCACTTGACATTTTTTGTGGAGACTTCTCAAAGACTATGTCTGCCCAAACGATCCGTAAACGATAAATGTCCCGAAGCAAAGTAGTTGTGAAAAGATAAATTAAAATTTTGGAGAACACTATTTATAACGCACAACTCACATATTTCGGCGTCTGATAATATGAATAATCATTACATTTTTCCAAAAATAAATGTTTTATTTGTTCTCTATTTCAAAATCAAGTCGCTTAGATTGTGGAAAAGCTGTCTTTAGAGGAAATTATCTCTATCTGTGCCCACTGGTTCTGTCACTGGATGAGTCACAAATATGGCGGCTATCTGAGACATGTATAATCGCCTCTTACGAGAAAGACGGAACTAACGTGTTATGTGTAGCATTGTAGGCGCCTATCAAGAACTTCCTAGAAGTATTGATGAGCCACCATTATCGAATGCCTGGAGCATATATTAAAGCACCATTGTAACGTTATCTGTCCTAGTTGCAACTACTTAGTACCGAAATTGTAAACAAACGTGATGTCACAGGAATTTCTGGAAACGAAAGTGATGCAGCAGTTTCGGAGATCCTGACAAGCGTTTGGTACTTTCTCTTTCCTGAAAACACAATCAGACCAAATGATTTTCAGACAAATGTTTCTAATCTAACATCATGTAAGATAGGATGTGACGGGAGATCATTGGGAACGTGTAGTTTATTCTGTAAAACCAAAATCGGGACAAGGGAGCAAACAATTCCAATTATCCAACGGTTTGAGAAAAATGATGCGTAGTGTCTGTGATGAGAGTTAAATTGTATAGATGTCATCATTCACGAAGATTGTTGCGAGCACTGTCGCACAAATATTAGCACATATGTGATCACAGGCGCGCGTTCCGTATTCCCTTTGAAAGCTGTGATGTCAGGTCCTTGCTACAAATATACACTTCTTCAAAATAAAATCACCACAAAAAATAACTATATGCCCAAATTGTAGGATAAGCTCCTCCAGACCTTTGGTGAGGATCACATTATTGCTACTGATACTACTGTTCTCCTGTGCAAAACTGTTGCCTTTCGTACCACCAGGGTGATTTCGCAAATGGGTGGTTGAGCACTGCATTCCATAATATCATCGTATGTGTTTCCAGGGTTCTGATTTAGGTCCAACATTATCCGAATTTTACATTAATGACCCTTTCCTGCACGATAGATGCGATCAACAGCCTCGTGGATGACTGTGTCCCTGTGCGGCGACCTGGAAGATATAACGACATGGAAATGATACTCGGTTGCACTTTAGGAAATAATAAGAGGCACAATGCTCTTCCAGTTTCGATGGTCAGCCCAGCTTTTTCAGAATGTCAATCGTTTCGGTTTGTTCAGATATAGACACGTAAAGCTTCTGTTTCTCATTCCCGCTTGTTCAAGCTTCGTAAGAGATATTTTTACAGCTTCATAATCTGATGACGCTTACAAAAAATGTAATGTCATAAAGAATCTATGGAAGAGTTACCATCAACTAACTACATACTGATAATAGCTGTGGCGATGCCTCATTATTCGAGCTTTGCCTTCGTCGCTGGATCTGTGTAAATAATTTTATTTCAGATAATGATCCAAGATAGTTTCATACCAACTTAGATGGAGCAAACTATCTTCAGTGCAAGCTAACTTTGCGGTAGTAATGTCACCTCAATATTTAGGCACTGCCTTGGCGGCGGTTCCAGTATGAAAAGGTAAAAACATCTTCTTCTAATCTCCCCTTCCGTACGACCATGACTACGTCACCTTACGCCGGTATACCTACCCATATCATCATGTATGCGAAGTGATGAATCCTAATGTGAAGAATAAATCGTAACAGTATATGTAAATGAAAAGTATATAAGGCAAAAACCTGCCTCGTCCGGCAGACAACGTTCCCAACAGTCGTTGTTCTCTACCAACCCCTCATATCAGTGCGTTTGCGAGAAATTGTATACACGCGACCATGTTGTCCCTCTTCCTATCACTCTCCCTTACGAACACCCTCTTGGTGCTAACCATCATCTTATTAATGAAAGTGATATTCGAGCTCTTCGCGAAGGACCAGACGAAGACCTCCAAGAAGGAAGATGGACTCCTCGAGCCTCCAATGCCGAGGAAGTGGCCAATCATTGGACACCTGCATCTGATGGGGGGATACGAAGTGCCCTACCAAGCGTTCTCAGCAATTGGAAGGAAGTACGGCGACCTTGTGAACATCCAATTAGGAAATGTCAAGTGTGTGGTGGTGAATGGACAGAAAAACATCAGGGAAGCGTTGGTCACCAAAGGACATCACTTTGACTCTAGGCCGAATTTCCAGCGGTACCACATGCTTTTCTCGGGAAACAAGGAAAATTGTAAGTAGTCATTATGAATTCTTTAGCTGTTTTTAAGGTCGTAATATAAAGTATTTTTCCATAATCAATTTGGATTTATTTATATTATTTATTTGAATATTAAATTTTTTCAAACTGCAAGAATAACAAAAAAGGACCCATGTCATTTTATTTTCTAACAAGCTATGGCCTTCTAATATTTTTCGCATACATGTATTCAGATTCAGTTGTTTCCCATCCAAGTTTGTCAAAAGCACTTCCTCATATTGTCAAAAGTAGAAGCTTTTAAAAAAGTAACAGGCAAAAATAAAAGCCTTGTAACGCCAAATCCACTTATAGCCGACTGATTCTCAATTAGCTGATGCCTACAAGTTTACTACTTATTATTTTGTATTGAAAATTAGTAACTACTAGTAAATTTACTATATGCAAAACTGCTTAACTACAACTGATGAGATGAACAAATCAAGAAAGCAAATGAATGCAAAATTTTGGGGAAAATACGACACGGACCACTTGAAAACCGTTAATTTTTTTTTCTTACCAGGCCCTGTAAAAGCTCCTAATGGACTATATCGAAAAAAATTATGGCAACCCAAAGGGCACACGATCAGAAGGTTTAGATATGTTTCAATATTTTCAAATCCTTTGGTAATAACAACGCTGCTACTGTGCCCATTTCGTGAAAATTAAATCTAACTACAGATATACGCAAAAAACTGTCTCAAGTTGCAGTCGCATAATACATCTCTGCCATACAGCGTGGGAACTTGCTAAGTTTTAGATTCGTTTTAAACTCATCATAGATTTCTTTAACAAGTTGTTTTCTCGACAAAAAACTACCCAAATTGGTTCAATCGCTTGGCGTTGAAAACCATAAATTAAATCGGTCTAACTTTTAAACAACTTGGCCGACATTTAGTAAAAGTCCTATTCAGTAATCCACAAATTAAACCCTTCCATCTGCTACCCAATTTAGGCATATATGCTTATTTTGAGTTGCTCACTTCCACGTTGACCGCCACAGCTGAACCGAGTTTCATCAAATATAGCTGAGAAACATTTCATACGCAAATACGCTGCTGCCCTTACTGCTTTATATACGATATACAAGAGTCCTAGAGTAAGGATAATTAACATATTTTTTTCATTTTCAGCTTTGGCATTCTGCGATTGGTCCGACACACAGAAAACCAGAAGAGACATGTTGAAGATCCATACCTTCCCAAGAGCCTTTACCAACAAGTTCTACAGTTTGGAACAGCTTATGGCGACAGAAATGCAGTCCATGATGTCTCAAGTGAAATCAAACCACGTGACCGATCTCAAGCCTATCATCCTGCGCCACTGTGCTAACATATTCCTCAACCACTTCTGCTCGAAGAACTTTAACGCAAACGATAGAAAGTTCGTTGAAATGGTGGACAACTTTGACGATATCTTCTATGAGGTTAACCAAGGCCATGCTGCAGACTTTTTGCCGTTCTTAATGCCACTGCACAAAAAAAACTTGGAGAGGATCCAGTTGATATGCCAGAATATAAGACAGTTCTTTGACAATGAGGTTATTGAGAACCGGTATGAAGATTTTGACATCGAAAGCGAACCGAATGATTACGTAGAATCACTAATCTGCAGTGTGAAATCAGGAGCATCCCCAGACTTATCTTGGGACTCCGCCATGTTTGCACTAGAAGACATCATTGGAGGACATTCGGCTGTGGGGAACTTCTTGGTGAAGGTCTTCGCGTACCTGGTGAAGGAGCCTGAGGTCCAAAAGAAAATGCAGGAGGAAATTGACCGAGTTGTTGGCGGCAACAGAAGTGTGAGCTTGACGGATAAAAATGCTATGCCATACACTGAAGCGGTTATCTTTGAAGCAATCAGATTGATTGCATCTCCGATCGTCCCACGGGTAGCGAACCAGGATAGCTCCATTGATGGTAGGTTTCAAGAATTCATTTTCAACATAAACTCTATCCAAGTAGTGAGAGCATTGTCGAATTGCACAGTGCCCTTCAAAAATGTTCTCTTCCCTCGTTTTGTGAGCGACTCAATCACGCTGGAATTCAGGGTGGTAAATTTGCTTCATGAATACTATACAGGGTGTTTCAGAACTATGGGATCAAACTTATAGGGGTTATTCAGTGTAACAGAAGAAAATATTTGAGTATAGGGACCCATATCCGGAAAAGTGCCGCTACGGCATTACGGCCCTAAGACGCGTTAAAATTTAGAAAGATGATGAATTGCCTAAATAGGGTTTAATGCATTTAATTTTTGCCTTTTGTACATGATATCATGACAACAATTGTTCAACATGTCTTCCTCCAACCTGAGTACACCGTTCCTGTGGGAACATGTAAAGACTTTGGTTTACGAAACTCCAGTATAAACAGAGCAGGACTTAATTGGACGAATTACAGCAGCATCTGAAATCATTCAAAACGAGTATCAACTTTTTAGCCAAGTCCGCCGAAATCATGTGCGACGTTTAAATTGGTGTATTCAGGTTGGAGGAAGACATAAGGCAAAAATTAAATGCATTAAATCCTATGTAAGCAATTCATCGTCATCAAGTTTAACGCGTCTTGGGGCCGTAGTGCCGTTGTGACACCTTTCCGGATATAGGTCCCTATACTCAAATGTTGTTTACTGTTACACTGAATAACCCCTAGAATATTGATACTGTAGTTCTGAAACACCATGTATTTTTAACAGCCGAAAATTTCAAGATGAGGAGCATGAGATACCTCATTTTGAAGCTCAGAGTATAAATTTAATGTCTTTCAAAATGGGAGACAGGTGGACTGTCCAAATCTTTATACATATTTATATACATACATATACTTAATTTATTTAAGTGTTCTTCTTTAGGAAGACTCTTCTGCTTGACAATAAATTTTCAGATTTTAACATTTTTCAATAGAGTGTTCCATATGTTTCTAGCTATTTGGATAGTCCCTTCCAATAAAATAAAATAAACTATAGCGTTTGATAATTGGTTCTTGAATTATAAGTTATGAAATGTATAAAGCGCCACTTTAGGAGATACTGATTTTGTAATCCATTGTTATTACATACTCATTAGATGTTCCAAAATTAGGTATCATATGACCTATTCCTTAAAAATATTTTTCAGCGGTGCCATACCTGCATTTCATTTCCTTCATCACCATACAGGGAGTAAAAATAGCAATACCGCGTCCAAGCTAGCCCGACACTGGCGATCTGAAAAGTCATATCTTGATATTGTTATGCCTATTCAATTGTACCTAGATATCAATTTACCAGTGATTATTGCAAACTTATGAATTTTAATTAAGTTCCGTTTTGTTGTAGACTACAGGATAGAAAAAGGGACAGTCCTGTTCCTCAACAACTACGACCTGAGCATGTCAGAGAAGCTCTGGGACGAACCAAAGAAGTTTATGCCTGAAAGATTCATCAGAGATAACAGACTGATCAAGCCAGACTACTTCCTTCCGTTTGGAGGCGGCAGAAGGAGCTGTATGGGCTACCGAATGGTCCAATTAGTTAGCTTCGGTATTTTAGGAGAATTCTTACAAAATTTTACCGTTTGTCCCGTTGAAAATGAATCATACAAAGTACCAGTTGGCTCTTTAGCACTTAAAAAAGACACATTCAAATTCAGATTTGTTAGGCGACAATAAATTCAATTTGAAATTAGGAGTATTTATTCGATTTAAATTATTGTTATTTATTTTTTCGCTAATAATGCCAGTGATATAACAATTTTTTTATACTGATGCATGACAGAGAAATTCTTGACAGTTGTGAGTGAGATTTACAGAGTTTATACGTTGTTTACGGATTTTTATGTGATTTTGTATATTTTTTGTAATAAACAATGAAAATATACGTTTGTCTGATCAATTACTATTAACTCAAGTTTTTTATGCCTATATCTCCCATTGGATTCAAGACACGGTCCTAATGTGACCCAAGGATTCAGGAATAATCTAGAGAAACATGTGTAATGTTGATAATTGTTGTCCAATATAATACAAAGGCCTATAAATGGTTAGTAAGATAAAATATCTGTACAGCATTCCCGTCCCTAAAGTGCTAAAGGAATGGACGGCAATTCGCTTAGTGTGCCAGCTTTCCCCGCGTTTTTTGCGACGTCATTTTATGAATTATTGATTTTGATATAATTGTTGTATTAATTTGCATAACAGGATATTGAAATATAGCCAGATCATGTGCCTTTCCTCGTTAACTAATAAAAGGAAAAAATGAGTCAATTGAAACAACTCATGAGATGACACAGATTCTTGCAAAACTGCAGCTGTGCATGATAAACTTGCCAGCATAACTATAGCCCCACCAATTATTCCTGTTCTTTATTGCTCAGTTCAAATGTAACTTAGTTACGTAGGTGGTAAAACGAACAAAAATAATACAGGTGCAGCGTAAGTTTATTCAATTGTAACAGGATCTTCGTCCGCGACTCCCGGACCTCTCAATGTCGTACCTTGAATTTATAGTTCGGATCTCTAGTCTAATACTTCAATTTCTGGACTGATCCGAGACTATTCGAATTTCCAATTCTGTTATCTTTAACTTGTCTTCATATAGGAGGTAGACTCGCGTAGAACCTGACGTAAAGTAATAGAATCATGACTCATTGAAACACTTTGCGCAGATCGTTGCCTCTTCTGTTGTTCAAGTAATCCAGAGAACGTAGTGAATCCCCGAATGAATACTTTCGGAACCGTCGAACTCAGTTAGCTTCAGTTAATGAATTTAATGGAACTCAAGTTAGAGGAGACTAGTTTTTATTGTTAATTGAATTACAGACTCTAATACCTAAGCACTCGTGAAAAGTGAAGTAGCAATGACAAAGAACAGTTAACCTTGTAAAACTAATAGGCTGGGGAAAGGATCCCCGGAGGAGTGAATTACGACTAAGTTAAAAGGAACGGTGACAACTAATTCACAATAAATTTAAGTTTGAATTTAATAGCAAAAATTAAACTTAAGAATCTCAACTTAAACAATGCTAATTAATCAAGCTAATGCATAGAATTCTGAGTTAACTCAGTGTTATATTAGCTTTACCCAGAAGGGCTAATAAAGAAGGGAAAAGCCCTTTTGAAGTAACTAGAAGTGCTTACTGATGTGAACACAACTTGACACAAATTCACCGACGCACACTTATTAGCAGTGACTAACTGAAGCAACTTTTCCAATAGTACGAATCAAAGATAGGAGAAGAACTGAAGCTTTTAGTTTAAAAATTATCGGAGGTCAATTGTGGATTTTCTCCTCCATCAGAAAGTTGGTCATTTTTACTTAGTGAGTTCAACCCTTGTTGCCTCATGGGTTAATCAGTTTACAACCCTTGCAATGGCCATCTGATTCTCTAAAGATGGAAACTAACTTGCCGCTGATTGTTAGATCGATTTTTGAACTCAAAATGGCCTTAACTGTACTGGCCAATTACGTTCCTTTGTCCTTCCTCAAGGAGTGTCGTCAGCGTACAGTCTTCCCGTAAGTTTATGCAACACGCCCCCCTTCAGTGACGTCTCGTGGCTATTTGCTTGGGGCAGACCCTGCAGTTTTCAATAATTTGAATGGACTAAGAATTCCTGTAATGCTGAGGTCATAATTCGAGATGTCATCTTGAGTAATTATAAGAATTGTACATAGCATTTAAGTAAAACTAACGGTGACTTTCTTCTGAAAAGTTTTAATGTGTTTGAGCCAAAGCTAGCTTCGCTGGAACTACGCAGTCTTTCGTTAGTTTCACCTGCCCCTCTCTAATGATAATTTCCATACCGCATCTGTCAACGTACGCGTTAAGGTAGAATCGTATCCAGCCTGGCGCATCTATTCCTATCAGTTAGGAGAAAATTCTACTAAGAACCTAGCTGTTCGTCTCATCATTATCATATTTTCCTAGATATCATGACAAATATTAGTAATATGTGAGTCTTCGGAAGTTTTAGATATCTCATGATACGCCTCTGACGCTTGACCTTTCAGCGCCTGGGGTAGCTTCTAGCATCTGATAACCAAATGGCTGAGTTCCAAGTTTCCCAGAACTCTTTGGGTTGTAAACTTTATAGTTATAGCAACCAAATTTTATTTCAGAATAGATCTCCAAACCATGTTTCTGTCCCATCCTATTTGAAAGGTCCAACTTTATTGCATCCGGTTCTATTGTCTATTTTCTCTAAGGTATGAATTTAGTTTATCTCTTCCCTTGACGTTCGCTGGGTGGTTTGCAGATGTGAGTGTTTGTTCTGTCCTTAGTTTTTATGTTTATTTCCATTTTATGGATGCAACGAGTTTTTACAAGGATAGGCGGCATGACGAATTATTTCAGCGAATTTAGAAATGGATAACTTGGTCGGCTACAGAATAACAAATTAGATGATTTGTTATTAATTACTGGAAAATGTGTAAAAATGTGTGGTGCATAACCATAGCCAAGCATGTTTAAGTAAGAATGAACAAAACACTTTCGCCTTAAAAATTATCCTGCGTGCATACTAATGACCAAACTGTTAGGGGTTTTAGGCTCTAAGTTCGTCCAGACGCACTTTTCAGATTATTTATGGAGGCATATGTCATGAAGTCTTCATACACTCGCCGGAATGAAACTTCCCAGAGATTTTTGAACGGTGAACGAGATGTACAGTCCAAGATTCCAATATTTCTCTCTGCAAATCAAGCTATTGGCTGCCGACATGTGTTTATGCATTATTTTGTTGTAGTGCCATCCTCTACAATCGTCGTTAATAAACGACACTAAATTTACATCGAAAACTTCTAGGTGTTATGCTCAGCTCTGTTGGTTCCTGTTGAAGGTGGAAGCCAAGCCCTTCTCTTCGTGAAGGCTCTCTGATTCCAAATAGTGCTTCAACAAGTATCAACATTTCTTCTGTTAATCAATTCTGGCATTCGCTTATCCCGAAGATCCTTCCAATTTCAAAACATGAGCTTTTTCAATTAACCGTGTCTGATGAAAAAATAATAATTCGATGGTCCAACAAATCATTTTGACCTTGAGAGCATTGATGTGCAGTAGATTGGCAAAGGCCTGCGATGCCAGAACACCTTGTACCAAAAAGTCCCCATCGGAACACGACATATTATTTTTTGTTTTAACATATACAGGGTGACTTCGAAGTTGAGTCATTTATTTTAACAGTGAGTAGATCTGTCAAAAGAAATGTTTTTTCCTTTAACATTTTTCTGGTAAAATTAAAGTAACAAAGTTATAGCCCTTTAGAAGTTTGAGTACCGCCCTGTCTCAATAATAATATTATGTGCTCGTGTTTGGCAACAACGGATATAATCCGCCTTATCGGTTCATCGCATCGGAAACAAAAAAGCGAAAGAATTTGAAACGCTTATCACGATGTTTTTACTACAATTTTATTAGTTGTATTCAGTCAATGTGTCAGTCGGTAACGCGTGAGCGAATAGTGGTGTTTGTTGCGTGGCTCAAACGAAATAAAAAATGGCACATGTTTACGAAAATGCTGAACTTGTGGACATGATTCTTATTTACGGGGGGGTCTTTACAAAATGCTGCCGCGGCATCACGGATTTATGCGGATCGGTTTCCCAATCGAGTGCAACCAACCCGTCGTGCCTTTGTTAATGTAGTACAAAGGGCTCGTGAATCAGGTGACTTAAGACCTCACAGGGGAGGGCATGCTGGTGCTTCAAGACCGCACGATCAAATACAGGTCCCCACTGAAATACTTGTCGGGAGGATACTTTATAAAACAAGGTAACATTTTTTTTATTTTTTTTTTTATTTTTACACACATATTTTGGATTATCTTCATTCTACAATCATTATCTGAAAATTAATGACTCAACTTCAAAGTCACCCTGTATTGTTGCATAGACATAACGCTTATTATTATCATGCTTTCAATTAACTTGATCTGTATGTGTATACAAAGGGTACTATAAAGGTTTTGCAATACAGCTTTATTTATTGACATCGTTTAAAGTAATTTCCACCACATTCAATACGCTTCTTCATCCGCCACAACCAGTCCTTACACCAGCTCTGCCAAGTTTCACCCGGGAGTGCGGCACACTCGTTGTCCCAAGCCCTCAGAAGGTCCTCATCGCTAGCTTCATTTTCAGATACTGAAACAGTGCCAGGTCGCAGAGACCAAGAGATCAAGAAGGAGGGTGCTCAATAAGTTTCATTCCAGTAGTGGTAAAATACTCGGAGCAGGCTTTGGCGCGGTGAGCTGGAGCATTGTCATGGTGGAGACACCAAGTGTCCATTTTTGACTTTGGCCGCAGGTTTTTCATAGCAGGCTCTGCCCCGTGTACCACTTAGCTGTGGCTGTCTTCCGAGTGTCCAAGACGACACGCTCCACAATCTCGCTCGATTTGGAAGATACAGCTATCATTCAGAATTGGATTATCTGACAGCTACGGGTGTGTCTTCATCATCAAAGACTTTGTTTTGAGCCTTGACCAGCACATCATAATAACAGATCCAAGTCTTGTGACCTGTCACGATGCTGTTCAAGTATCGAGATTGCCCTTTATCTAACATTTTCAGCATCTTTCGGTACCAAGTCGTACGACGAGTCTTCTGCTCTTCCGTAAGACTATGCGGTACCCAGAGAGAACAAAGTTTCCTTACGAGTAAATGATCATGCATAATTGAATGAATTGTTGGTGCGTGAAGGTGTAAGGTTTTAGTTTGTAACCGACGTTGGCGGCCTTCCTTCAATCTCAGCGTCCTCCAGAGGGAAATCGCCCCTTTGGAGTTCTCTGTACCACCTGAATATAGTCGTACTATGAGGACAATCATTCTTTAATGC